GCCGCAGGGCGGCTCAGCCCACGGAAACGGCGGTGGGGCGGGAGGCTGGCACTGCAGCTCCAGCCGGGGAGCATGAAGAAGATGGGGCCGAACCACTTACCTCTTCTGAAGCCATGGGGGCTGGATCAGGCCGAAGGCCCGAGCTGCAGCCGCGCAGAGGAGAGAACAGGAAACGCCGCGCGGAGTCCTCAAACCGAGCGCAGACGCCCACTCGCACGAGTCGCGGCGCCGCAGCCCGCGAGCACACCGACCCTGCGCGAGATCGCAGCCCGCCTCCCGCACGCGACGGATCTGGAACCTTCGCGAGGCCGCCGCCGCCACCGCCCACCGCGAGCACGCTCCACCCGCCAAGCCTGGCCCCACCCCTCCCCGCCTCGCAGAGTGTGCCCCGCCCCTCCCCGCCCCGCCGAGTCTGGCTCCGCCCGCCTGCCGAATCTCCTAGCAACGCTCAAGTCTCGCGAGCGAACCAGCAGTCCGAGCAGAGTAATGCCTTACTCTCCGCCCCGACAACTTTATGTATTGTAATTTGACCGCACTAGGCCAGGCTGCGCAGTCGCAGCTCGGAACCGCTGCCTTAACCCAGCCCCGGAAATAACGTACCGATTTTCGGAGTCCAAGTCGGAAGTTGAGTAGAGTCTTCCGTCCGTTCTAGGACACCAGACACACCAGGCAGCCATGTTGTGTAAGGCTAGTCTCTCAGCCTCCGCGAGAAGGCAAAAAATGGGGAGAAGGAGCTGCCTGGTTATGTTCAAACGAGAATGAATGGATATGTTAAGCGTGGAGGACTCCTAATGGTAGCGGTTTGATTTTCAGTGAGTTTGCCGCAGTGGAGACGTCACCGCTCTCTGTCCGCTCCGACCTCGTGTCGTCATCATTGGCCGCGGTAGGAGGTGGAGCTGCGTTGGCCACATGACCCGGCCCCGTGGCGGAAGCCCAGGTCAAGGCCCTAACGAAAGGGTCGGCATTTGGCCACAGTTTCAGACCCTCCTTTTGTCGTGGACTGTTGAAGCATAATTTCCTGGTGCTTTCGCCTCTTTCACCGACCATTTCAAGAGTCCGTAGTTCTCGCCTGGGTTTGGATTCGGTATAAGTGAGCCTGTTTACCATCAAAGAAAATGGTGGAATGTCTTCTGGAGACGATGTTCTCTTCTGGTTCTAACGCTGCCTCTCAGCGAGACCCCAGAGAAGCCTAGTTTTCAGGTTATTCTAGTCCTTGGCAGGCTCAAGATGTCAACAACACGGTTGGAAACAACCCCTCAGAGATCACATAGCCCGCGCTCAGCTTTTTTGATCGTCCAAGGCGGCGACCCCTGAGAGGTTACATAGCGAGCACTCAGCTTTATAGATCGCCCAAGGCAGCGATTAGAATCAGCAACTCGGAGAGGAAAAAAAGCTCTTAGCGAAATGGAGGCTGACCATTATCTGTAATAAAGAATCGGAAGTACAGTACAAAAATAAATTACCGAAGCGCAACATGCGTGAATTTCACACAAAAAAATAACATTAAGGGAAAGAAGCCAGACACAGAAGAGTTCATATTGTGTGGTTCAATTTAAATGAAGTCTAAAAACTAGCCCATGGTGTTAATGAGCGTAGTGGGAAGGACAATGACGTGGAAGAGCCACCAGGGGGCTTTTGAGGTTCCGGTAATGTTACTTGATTTAGACACTGATTTATAAATAGGTGGGTTCACTTTAGAAATTAAGTTGTAAACGTATTTTTATGTACGTAGTTTCTTCTATAGATTATATTTAAGGCCCTGCGGGGGTGGGGGGGAATTTGCCAAGGTAATAGAAATATTACACCCATACATACAATTGTCAAAGTTCGTGGGATGAACTCCTAAGAGCTGTGTATTTTATCGTATTTTTTTTAAGTGGCCAACCAATAGCCTGGAATTGTTAAGTACATAATTAAATAAAAACAGATATCGCACTGCACCGAGTGAAAGCTTGACCTAATGCAGTGAACAGTCACCTCATTCTCTTAATTGCTCAGGCTAAGGAGTCACAGGTGAGTCTTCTATCTCAGGCCTTACATCTTATCATATAGCAAGCCTTACTGGCTTAATCTCAAAATATGTAGCGAATTAAACGACTTCTCACAACCTCCGCTTCTACCACCTGACGGGGTTTGGGGCATGCTACCCAAGAATATGGCACCTAGACATACTGAATACTTTAAACTGAAGGAATTTGAGAAACAACATATGCAGTAATGTCTCTAACTTTCTTGCACCTTTCTGCCCTGAAGCAGGACGTAATACCCTAATGTGAGAGTTGCCCTGTCTATACCTGGAATAAAAGTAACATCTTTATCTCTGAAAACACAGGAACGTAGAGATGAATATGAACATCAGGCCTTGCTAAGTTTCCCCCAGTTTATTACCCTTAGATCACAGTCTTTTAGCCCCATCACATTTTCCCACAATTCTTCATTCTTCTTCAAACCTACTCTAAAGAACACTAAGGTTAACTATTTATTTGGGTCTTTATTTCTTTATGAAGTTTGCATGTTATGTAAAACTAACAATATTTATGCTTTTCTCTTGTTAATTTGTCTTTTGTTACAGCATCCCAAGCCAATGAGCCTAAAATGGGTAGAAGGAAAAGATAATTCTTACCCTACACACCCAGGTGCAAGCCATCATTATTTTGTCTGAAATTTTAGCTTCCTAACTGGTTTCTCTGCTTCCCCATTGTGCCTTTAGGGTTAGTTTTCCACAGAGCAGCCTGCGATATCTTTTCAGATCATTATATCCCTTTGCTTAAAAACCTCTGACAGCTTTCTATTAGGCTTAAAATAAAGTACAAACTCCTTACTGTGAACTTGAGTGTTTTACGTATCTTATCTCACCTTTATGAGCTTCACATCAGAACCCATCTCTCACCACTCTTCCTTCCCCATTCCCTGATTTAAACAGTCTGGCATTTTTCTTAGTCATTGAACCCACTGGGTTTGCTCTTGCCTCCAAGTCTGTACCCAGCTTTCTCTCCACTTGTAATCCTCTTCCTCCAGTTCATCACACAGATCGTTTCTTCACTCTGTTTAGGTCTTTCAGAAGTAACACTAAGGGAGGCTTTTCCAGACAATATTATGCAAATATAAATGGACATGTGACAAATACTTAATTCAACTCATTGGTTAATGAGAGTGTATTTGAGTAGCCAGGTATTTATAGGCAATTTAACAATGTAATGTTAGTGTAAGGTGGGAAGGTTAGATACAAACCTGTTAATGTGTCACAGGGTAATAAACTCTAACTTTTGGTGTTATCTGTACCACTGGAAAGGAAGGAGGGATTTGCATTCTTATTGGACAAAAATCTAGAAGTTACTGTATAGATTCAGTATAGGACTTTTAAATCAATAGTAAACAATGAAATAAACAAAGTGCAATCCCCTAGTCCTTGGTTTGACACTGAAAGGACATGCCACTCACCTTTTTGCCTTGTTTCCGAAGTTTGGAATAATTTTCTTTTCAAAATGAAATTATTTCTCATTCAGTTGTCCGATTGCAGGCAGCCTTTCTGCTTCCCCCAGTTATTGTACCTGTCAAGCTTACTCATGATTTCATAACTGCCAAATTCAATGGATATTTTGAATTTTTAATTTTTTTTGCTATGACTCATACTGTTCTCTTGGGGCTTGTCAGTAGATAAAGAAATGACCTTCTGGGGACTGTGCAAAATATGGAATGCTTAATTAACTTGTGTGTCATTCTTGTGCAGGCGACATGCCAATCTTCTCTGTAGATTACAGTTTTAGTGTATATGCTGTTGAAGTGAGCACTTCTGAGTAATTTTGTTTTACTTTTTATGTAAAATTTCACATTGTTTAAAATACCAGAGGGGGCCAGACATAGTGGCTGATGCCTGTAATCCCAGCACTTTGGGAGGCTGAGGCAAGTGGATTGCTTGAGCTCAGGAGTTTGAGACCAGCCTGGCCACATGGCAAAACCTTGTCTCTGTAAAAAATAGAAATATTAGCCAGGCGTGGTGGTGCTTGCCTGTAGTCCCAGCTACTTGGGAGGCTGAAGTGGGAGGCACTTGAGCCTGGGAGGTGGAGATTGCAGTGAGCTGAGATCACGCCACTGCATTCCAGCCTGGGTGACAGAGCAAGACCGTCTCAGAAAACAAACAGAAAACACCACATGGCCAAACGAAAGATGTCTGTGGTCTGAATTTGGACCAAAATCTGTAATCTTACAGTCTTTTATTATTTTTTAATACATGCCGAATTCCAAGAGGAGCTGACCAATCTCTTGGTATTTCACTTGGGTTCCGTGGATTCCCAGAACAAAATGCAAATGCAAATGAGATATGATTGGGATTCTCTGCACACGATTTCCACTTTCATAAGTGCCTCTGAAGTTTAGTTTGAATTATATATCTCCTACCTTGCTGTACCTTAAAGGACTTAACAGCAGCTACCTGACCCGGGATTAGCCAATCATATTTTTTTTCCAGAACTTGTGATTGGAACAATTGAGATGGCAGTCTTCTGCTGGTAGTTTGAAGAGAGGATATGTAAACTTGGTAGCTGTGTACTTAGAAGCAGAGAAAGCCTGTTTTCAGAGAGAAGAATGAAGCAGGTAAGTGTCATCTGGAAGGACAAGCAGAAGCACAATTATGGGAACAATTGCTTTCAGGGTCCTGATGGCATTCCAGCCCCTTGTCCTAGTGCCAGTTCAGGCCCAAGTGTTTGGCCTTTGGGACCTATGATACAGATATCCTATTTCCTTTTGGTTAATTGCCTCTTAAAATTACTATTATTAAGCTAGCTTGCAAAGGTTTCTGTTACTTGGAATCAAGGAACCTCAGTAGAGAGGAAAATAAGGTACTTTGTGGTGGTGCTGCACAGGATATCATTTTTGCAGGGTATATACTGTTTTCTAAGTTGACTGGAGTCTAGTGTCAGGTGTAAGAAGTGTTACATAAACATTGGGTTCAAATGAGTCAGAATAAAGTCAACTAAAAAAAATTAAAAAGACATACATGGACTTCAGAACAAATGTTTATTACTGCTTAATGGGGCCAAAGGGGCAACACAAAGCATTGAAAACATCACTGGCTCACAAAAACAGTCACCTTGTTACCTTCTCAGTTGCATTTGTTTATTTCACAAGGCTTCATTCACACATAAAAACAAAATACTAATCCAATTCAAGTTCATAACAATTATAAAAGTAAACATTTGTTGGGACAATGTACAATAAATTGCACTTTTTAGACAAGCATTACATTTACATTTATAGAGTGTACTATACATAATACATGGAATTATGGAAACATCTAATTGGTCATCGTTTATAGAGGAAGAGGCTGATCACTAACATTTTTGTAGTTAATTAGTACTGTTCAGACTAATCAACTCCTTTATTCTAGAACCTGTTTTCATTAGAGATGCCATGGACAAAATAATAGAATTCATAATAGATAATTCAGAATCTCTACTACCTCCTCTGCAAGGGAAAGGTAGGAGTTGGAAAGAAAGAAGTGGGGCTGAGAAACTGTGTCCCTCATTTGAACTAAGGATCCATGCATTATGCAAAATACCAAAAATAGAGAAACTGATACAAAAGGCTTTTGGGACATCTTGGATCTGGGACCATCTCCAGCCTTATTCTTGTGCTTTCATGACACCAGAGTCTCTCGATGCATTTATATTCTCACAATTCAGTCCATATATTTTATCCCATATATAATATATAGTTATTAAAAGTTATAGAGTTTAATGGAAAAGATTTTACATGTTAACTAATTGCCAGTGAAAAAGGAAAATAACTTAAAATGTTCACTTTCTACTCAATGATTCTTTTTTCTTAAGCTTTTCAGAATACCACTAATGACAAACCAGAGATGGAGGTAGGAGGAATGAGATATATTAATGAAATGTTTTTATAGTAGGCAGCAAATTCAGGTGGAGATAAGCTTGACATATTGTAGTCTTTTAGATGCAAACTGAGAAAGGAATGCCAGAGAGCTGACTGCAGTCACTAAAATCTATATGTCCACTTTTCTCATTACAACTCAAGATCAGCATCTCTATTGAGGAGCAACCAAGGTTGAAATCCTCATTTTGGTCACTTTTGAAAGATAAAGAATTTGCTAAGGTAAAGGGCTTTGCCTGTGTTAAATGGAAGCCACTATGAGAGAGAAAGTATGTGATGGGACAGTTCTAGTTCAGTGTGACTATCAGCATGGTAATGAGAAAGAGTTTCATATCTGATAGTAGGAAACAGGCTGCAGAGCTGTGGTCTGGCCTTCTGGCTTTCATCATTATTTCTTGAAATCTCAATGTGTATTTGGTTGTGTGGTACCCAGGGAAACAAAAGAAGCAGAGATACTCTATATAAAATTCTTCCAATTAAACACACATACAAACCTAATAGTGTTCAAATCATACAACAGAATTTCTTCACTCTCTCACTTGTAATTGGAGCAAAGGAGTCAGTATTTTGGAGTGTTTTTAAGGGCAAGTTATATAATGTAATCATCTTGCTAATTAAGTAAAAGTGTTCTTTCCCAGAAGATAAAACCAAGGCATTTAATTTTTTAAAAGTTTTTTTTTCCCCCTTCAAGGGGCCCCCTAATCAGGCAGCTACCTAAGTGTTTGATGCAAAGGTTGGTGGAAGAGTTAGTAGACTGATTTTAGCGAAAGTAAAAGAAGGCTTAAACCCCTACATCAGTTACACATGTGATTCTCCTTCTGGGTGGGTGGCTGACTCCTTTAAGGATCTAACTGTATCTCCTCTGCCCAAATCTGTGTTGTTTTCTCTTGGTTTTCTCACTTCAGCTAGGAAATAAAGCAACTAACTATTAACTGGAAAATATTTTAAGAAAATGGAGCAGGCGTTGGAGAAAAATAAATATGAATACACCCTAGAAAAAAATGAAACAAGATACATAGTATTAAATATCCCCACATCCATACAAAGGTCGCTTTTCTACTTTACTCAGGGCATTTCAGAAAGCCAATGAAGAAGAAAGTACTAATTTAACAGCTGGGAGAAGGGCAGGAGAAGACACCAGTTGAATGGCATTCCTATTAGTGTTCCTGATAGGCACTCATAAATAAACAGAACATTAAGTAACTGAGAATTTCTTTGCATTAAATTATATATAACTAAATATAACCAAATTTTGACATGGTTCAGGATGTGGGAAGCTAGCAAACATATGCACTGCAAAATCCAGCTTGGTTTCTTTCAGATTTAAAGAATGTGTTAAGATTCTCAAGATATAAAAGCTGATGAACTGAATTACGAAGTTGAATTTCATTCATTTATTTTTTTCTACAGAATTTAATGAAAATAGAAATGATCAATTCTTAGATATTACAAATATTAGATTTTCAGAGGAATGTTTTATACAGAGCACATCCTAGGAAAGGATGAAAAACACTAGAATATTTTGAAAACTTTCCTGGATATTTGGCTGGTTCATCTCTTCTAAATGAAATTCAATAGAAGAGATGCAATTCTCAAATATATCTCAAAATAAGTGAAATTAAAACTAGTAGTTACTTCATGCTGGGATGCATGAGTTTTCAAACAACAGACAGTGAAGGACATATTGTTTGGAATATTGCTATTATAACATATTGTATGAACAATCATACCACATACCAAATTCTGAATTTTCTTTGTTTCTTGTCTTTACTATTGCTGCTGACTCAAAGGCATTGCAGTGAGGGAGAGTTTAGGCTTATGGTACCAACAGGCATATCCAAGTATGATATGGGGCTGGAGAATAAAAAAAAAAAAAAAAAACTATGTATTGCCCTTACAATCTTTTGAAAGAGCTAAAAGAAAACTCAAAAGATGGACTTATCAAACTTGAGAGGTATGTACCTGGTGATTTTTCTTTTTTGAGACAGAATTTTGCTCTTGTCGCCCAGCCTGGAGTGCAATGGCATAATCTTGGCCCACTACAACCTCTGCCTCCTGGATTCAAGCAATTCTCCTGCCTCCACCTCCTGAATAGGCTGGGATTACAGGTGCCCGCCACCACACCTGGCTAATTTTTATATTTTTAATAGAGACAGGGTTTCACCATGTTGGCCAGGCTGGCCTCAAACTCCTGACCTTAGGTGGTCCACTCACCTTGGCCTCCCAAAGTGCTGGAATTACAGACGTGAGCCACCATGCTTGGCTGGGGGAGGATTTTTCTCTTCAAAAGGAAAGGGACTATGAAGTTGAACAAGGTCTCCAGATAAGGGATTAACCTAGAGCCATTATGTTTCTCCCTCACCTATTATTTAAAGAAAATTATGCACTTTAGGCATTCTGTGGAATGTACTTATTTTTGTAAGTTGAAACAAGCTCTGTACAGAATTATGAAATTCACAACACAAAAGAGCATCTTTAATTTAGCTGGCCATTTGATAAGGCAACTGCACAGGGCTTCTTGGAATCAAAGCGTAAAGTACCAGTAAAGCTAACAGCCTATACGAAATGATTTACAAAAACAAGTGCCAAGATAACATTTTCTAGCTACTATATTTTACAAAAAAAAAAAAAAAAATTAGCTTCTCTAGACCACCATGTAGAGAATATTAAAGTCAATATAGATACCTGGAATGCTGAGTTATGTTCCTTTTTGGTAAGAAAATAAATTTTGTAATGAAAGATGTCAGAACAACAAAAGATTTATGTAAGAAAAGTATTATCTGATGAGTATAACATAATAATCACATCAGTTTTATGGGCTGTAGATAATATAAACACAGAAAAAGGGGATTTCACTTTTTAGAACATAAAAGATCATTTTAGAGGAAAAGATCCACCGTGAGCAACTTGCTGTATCCTCCTGGGGTGGAGATGGCTCTTATTTGATTTTTCTAAGGGTGTGTTACTTTTAATTGCAACATATGGCACAGATGAAAATCATTCTGGCACTGCAGAGTTTAAGATTCTTTGCAAATAATATGTTCAACAATGAGGCCAATGATGTATATCAACAAATGTTGTTGTACATATCTAATAGTAGTTTGGTTGGTGTGAAAGGAACAGAGGCCTCCAAAATAGTTTATAAAATAAAAATAGTTTTGCTCTTATCAAATAATTTCCTGCAAGGACTATTTTTATAGGCATGTTAAATATAATTGAAAAAATATTTCCACTAATTTTTAAACAATAGCTTTACCTTTCCATGAGATAAGTATTTCTGTAAAGATTTTATATTCAATCAAAAATGTTACAAATGCATTTGTATCTCTTTATGGGTATGAAGGACACGTTTTCAGTGAACTACCGAAATTGGAAAAAGTTGCCCAACATTAAGCTAAGATGATGTGAGCCTGACCTCTATTTCTCATTTCAATACTATGTCCTTTAACAAAGTTACAGTATTGTTAGTGTTTCCTTAGCAAATATCTATCAATGTTAAATGAAATACTCTGTCCCTGGTTCTGTATTCCACTCTATTCAGCACAATGGCTGAACCTGGGACTTTTTAGGCGTCTCTGGTAAAGGCTCCCTAAGTCTGTAAGGCGCAACATCCACCTTTAACTTTATAAGTGCCAGAAGTCACATCTGTGTCCATACTTAGGCATACTTAGGAACTCACAAGTCCCATGTGGAGTTCTTAAAAGGATCTGTTAGAATACCACAGCCCAAATGATCCTAACCTACACTTATTAAAATCTCAGTTCCTTTTACCTAATGTATAATCTGAATAGCCCATCTATTCCTGGCACTTCATTTCCAGATAATGAAAGTAAACCAATGATCACTGATTGGTTCTTTCCTTTGGACAGGATTATCACTCCCCTGGGAATCAGGCTCAGGAGGAAACCTGAGAGCAGTCATGCCTGGCCCCACAGTGTGCTTTATCTGAATAAATCCTGAAAAGCTAAGAGGTTTAGGTTTCAATGTTTTTTTTTCCTGTGACAAAGATCTTCCTATCACTTCACTTCAACCTTGGAATAACAGATATCTCCATTTTTACGTAAGATAAAAATAATTATGAATAATTAGTTCTAAATAAAAGAGCATTTAGTTCTGAATTACTTATTTCCAACTAAACATCAGGCAAACAAAATAATGTGTTAATACTATGATGGATCTGAACATGGCCTTCCATGAAGAAGCTGGAAAATAGATATTCAACATAAAACAGGTCAGTTTAAATAACCTCCCTTTGAAAAGTGTCATACAAGAAAGAGAGCTACTGAAAGATTCTGGCTTGTTTTCTGGCCTCCTTGACTTTCCTTCAAAGGGACACCAGGAAGAATCCTCCCAGATTTCCACTGCTTTGAACATTGTGCTCTTGTGCTTGGGTAAGGCTGGAACTATGTGCTCTCCTTGGGTGGCTGGGTGACCGGTGCTGGCTGCAATGGCTGGGTGCCCGTGGCCGTTTTGATAGAGTTCAGGGTTTTGCTAAACCAAGAGTTTTTTGCAGCTTGGATTTCATTCATAAGGGCTCCTCTCTGATGTTCAAGTTCCTAGTTAAAGCAAGAAAATAATCTGAGTTAAATAAATGTTTTCTTTTTGCCAATAAATAAATACATTAATTAATTTTTAAAAATGTGCAGCTTTTTGGAGTCTCAAGGTATGTGCTGCCAATTTTCCTCCCACAAAACCCAGGAGAGATTGAATTGGTTACTACAAGGATAAAGTTAAGAGCTAAAAGATTTATCAAAAAACTGGAATCTGTACTTTCTGTCAACAGTGAAAGAAAACCTGATTTTATTCTTTTTTCCCCTGCAAGTTAGATCCAAATTTAGGTTTAGGTTGCAACCCAAGATAACAGGTTTAAAAACCACAAATAAATGTAAATATATGGATGAATTTTTACTGGTAGTATAAGCATGAATGAATTCCAGTTCCAAAGAAATAGGCTTTGCCCTAAGAATGTCCAGGGTCAGAGCAGACACATGGTGGAAGCTGGCTGGTGTGGTGCAGGCTGGCGACATGGCAGCTATGGCATTGGTAGGGATCACTGAGAAAATGAAATGAAGAAGAGTCCATCAGAAGCCAGGACTATTTCTAATTATATTATGCTCCAATATGGAGAAAGATAATGGGGAAAGGGGGTTGACAAAATGAGCTAAAGATAAAAAGCAGCTCCAAAGAAAAGAACGGGTGTCAGCTAATGTGTGGCTCTCAGGGTACACACAGCAGAGGGGCTTTGGTTTTTCATTTTCAGGATTAGCCACTGAAGTGACCACATTCTGTGAGAAAGGATGTAAGCAAAAAATCTCAGGGTAAAAAAACCAAAAAGCTTATGCTTAATTAAGTTCTCCTAAGATATACTTTTAATTATTAAAATTTCATTTAAAATTATGTATTTGTTTATATCAGTGTTAAGAATACATGATATAAAATGTGATTATGCAGGACACATTAGCAGATAGAAAACATATTCATCATACAATTCTGACCTAGATAGGTATATTCTGAAGTACCAGAGTATCTTGGACCATTAATTGTTTATTCTTTCTTCTTGTCCTTTTATCAAATCACCAACCTGAATTTTACACTTGGCCTCCACCAACTGCAGTTTGGTTTGTGCCAGTTCCAGTTCCATCTCTCTCAGCTGCTTCTTAAGTGAGTCCTTCTCATCATCCGTTTCAATTCCCTGGTCCTCTCTGCTTGTGGCTGCTAGTTTCAAAGCACCCTCCTTGCTGAAAATGTCACTGCAGTGTTTGCATGCCATCATCTTACCCTAAAGTATCCAAAAGAGACAACCAACATCAAGCTGTATTCCATAGGCTAAATCACTTTCTGAAACAATATATGACTTTTTTAGATGCTGTTTATTGTCACGAATGCAGGCCCATTTCTGAAGGTTATTTTTCTTGTGCTGCCATCAAAATCATTAGTCAGCCCGAACCCAACTATCCAAGATGGGTGCTCCCTTTTCCTGAAGTATCTCTAGAAATACCCTATAAATAGAAAGTATTGTAGCATCTCTTTGAAATCTGTTCTAGAAATTTTATGCTATCATTATTCTTACTAGATGCCAAGCACCACACCAAATGCTTTACTTGTAGTATTTTACTAATCCTAAAGCAACTCTGTAAGTAAGCACTATCATCATCCTCATTTCATAAAGAAAGAAACTCAGAGTTTAAAGAACTTGCCTACAGTAGACTGAGGACGGTCATCATGACTAGCCTAAATCTACCCTTGCAACAAAGCACATGTTCTGTTGTTGAGTTTTAAGCAAAGAGGACCCCTATTGTATAAAGTAATAAAAGTAACTCCGGCCTGGTGCAGTGGCTCATGCCTGTAATCCCAGCACTTTGAGAGGCTGAGGTGGGCGGATCACAAAGTCAGGAGATTGAGACCAGCCTGGATAACACGGTGAAACCCCATCTCTACTAAAAATACAAAAAATTAGCCAGGTGTAGTGGCATGTGCCTATAGTCCCAGCTACTCGGGAAGCTGAGGCAGGAGAATCGCTTGAACCCGGGAGGTGGAGGTTGCAGTGAGCTGAGATTGCACTACTGCACTCCAGCCTGGGCGACAGAATAAGACACCATCTCAGGAAAAAAAAAAAAAAAGTAACTACCACATGCCCAGATTGCCAGTTGGGCACATAGCACTGAACAACAGCAGCTGTTTTCCAGACAATAGTGCTGTTGTTTTCTTAAAGTATTTTAAAAAATAATTCAGTAGAGGTAAAAGATATTACACGCTATTTCTACTTTGATGCCCTACTGCTACAACAAGCTCCATGTGTCCATCACCATGCCCATCCTCCTCTCTTCACACACAAAAAGCAAGTCTCCACCACACTTCTGTGCCACTGGGCATGTCTCCACCATTTGGGCCTGAAGACTTTGGATCATCTTTTCATTAGCTTCTCTTTCATCCTATGTCCAGTTGACCATTAATTTCTTCCTCTTGGGCCGGGTGCACTGGCTCACGCCTGTAATACCAGAACTTTGGGAGGCCAAGGTGAGTGGATCACGAGGTCGAGATCCAGATCAACCTGGACAACATGGTGAAACCCCGTCTCTACTAAAACTACAAAAATTAGCTGGGCATGATGGTGCACACCTATAGTCCCAACTACTTGGGAGGCTGAGGCAGCAGAATCGTGTGAACCCAGGAGGCGAGAATTGCAGTGAGCCGAGATCGCACCACTGCACTACAGCCTGGCGACAGAGCAAGACTCCGTCTCAAAAAGAAAAAAAAAAAATTTTTCTCCTTTGACATGTCTGAGCTCTTGCCATTCCAGGCTGAATCCCTAAGGGTCGCCTTCTCAGTACTCACTGGCTTCCTTCTCATCCCATCCATAATCTACTCTTTGTATTCCTGTTCATTAATATTCATTAGACATGAAAAAACAAAACTTGTCATTCTGTTACTTAAGAACCTCTGCGACACCAGTTAGAATGGCAATCATTAAAAAGTCAGGAAACAACAGGTGCTGGAGAGGATGTGGAGAAATAGGAACACTTTTACACTGTTGGTGGGATTGTAAACTAGTGCAACCATTATGGAAAACAGTATGGCGATTCCTCAAGGATCTAGAACTAGATGTACCATATGACCCAGCCATCCCATTACTGGGTATATACCCAAAGGATTATAAATTATGCTGCTATAAAGACACATGCACACGTATGTTTATTGCAGCACTATTCACAATAGCAAAGACTTGGAATCAACCCAAATGTCCATCAGTGACAGATTGGATTAAGAAAATGTGGCACATATACACCATGGAATACTATGCAGCCATAAAAAAGGATGAGTTTGAGTCCTTTGTAGGGACATGGATGCAGCTGGAATCCATCATTCTTAGCAAACTATCACAAGAACAGAAAACCAAACACCACATGTTCTCAATCATAGGTGGGAACTGAACAATGAGATCACTCGGACTCAGGAAGGGGAACATCACACACCGGGGCCTATCATGGGGATGGGGGAGGAGGGAGGGATTGCATTGGGAGTTATACCTGATGTAAATGACGAGTTGATGGGTGCAGCACAGCAACATGGCACAAGTATACATATGTAACAAACCTGCACGTTATGCACATGTACCCTACAACTTAAAGTATAATAATAATAAATTAAAAAAAAAAAAAGAACCTCTGAGAATAATTAGCCCAGTATAGGCATATTGTAAATATTTGTTGTGTGTTTACTGTTGACTAAAAATGTTAAATAGCTTTTGATCTGAGTCTTAAATGATTAAAAATTTACTGAGTTGGCTAAGTAATTTTATTAGGTTGAACCACATGAAGAAATAGATTGATCACATAAGAGGGAGGATGACATTTCAGCAAAGAGACACCTCCATGTGCAAAGACATAGCACCTTCAGATAACTTCAAAGAATTCAAAATGGCTTAAGCAGAAAGTGATTCAACAATGAGCGAGATGAGAGATCTCTGTGCCCGGGTCATAAAGGTCCTTAAATACCATGTTGCTGAATTCTGATTTTATCCTACAGAAAATGCATTCATTTACTCTACCGAGCCCGGTGCTACATGTCAAAGATAGAGCAATAAGTTTGACAGAGCTGCAGTTTGGCAGACCTGCTAAAACGTGATGGATACTGCTGATTCTCACCCAATATCCATTTCTCCTTCTTCCTAACAGACCCTGAGTTTATTTGAGCTGGCAGTGTGTCTAGATAAAAGGTGACACTCCCTAAATTCCCTCAAAGCTGCTATGTAAGCAGAAGTTTAGAGGGGAGCTTCTAAGAAGGCTGCTTAGAAAGAGCTCACCCAGATGAATGAGGCCTTTATATACTGCATCTCCTTTCGGACTAAAATTCTGCCCCAGAGTATGGGTGTGATGGTGGGAGCTCTAGTAGAAAGGATTGGTTTTGGGCTGGGCGCGGCAGCTCACGCCTGTAATCCCAGCACTTTGGGAGGCTGAGGTGGGTGGGACACAAGGTCAGGAGTTCGAGATCAGCTTGGCCAACATGGTAAACCATGTATTTTGTATTTTTCTACTAAAAATACAAAAATTAGCTGGGCGTGGAGGTGCGTGCCTGTAATCCCAGCTACTCGGGAGGCTGAGGCAGGAGAATCTCTTGAACCCGGGAGGCAGAGGTTGCAGTGAGCTGAGATTGTGCCATTGTACTCCAGACTGGGCAACAGGGCAAGCCTCCGTCTCAAAAAAAAAAAAAAAAAAAAAAAAAAAGAAGCAAAAAAAAAAAAAAAGAAAGGATTGGTTTCTAGGTGACCTTGAGGATAGAAGTCCACATGAAGATGTGGGTCACTAATGACTGATTAGCTTGGGTTACTAATGACACCAAGGGTATACCTTTCTAGTCCTAAGCTGCTTTTATGTAAAATAATCAACACCTTTTATGGTTAAGCCAATGCTATTCTGGGTTCCCTATATGTGGCCAATCTAATTCTGCATTGATACACAGAATGATAGTCAAATATCACTTTATATTTGGGAACACTCATTCTGATTATAGTGTAAAGGATGAACTGGGGTGTGATCATGACAAAAGAAGGTTATTATAGGAAACTGAAAAAAACAAAAGCTATTTATCATACCAAATGAGATAGGAAGAAGCACTAGAGAAACGGGAGGTGGTATAGTCTAACGGCTAATGTTACTGACTTTAGAGTCTGACTTCCAGGCTTAAATCCTGGTTCTACTAGCTGTGTAACCTTGATCAAAGGAATTGCCTGTTTGTGGCTTTATCATCAATAAAAAAGAAGATATACTGTCTTTTTTATTTTTTTTAATTTTGTACCAGGGTCTGTCACCCAGGCTGGAATGCCATGGCACGCTCACAGTTCACTGCAGCTTCAGCCTCCTGGGCTCAAGCAATCCTCCCACCTCAGCCTTCTGAGGAGCTAGGACTACAGGTGCATGCCATCATATCCAGCTAATTTTTGTATTTTTTGTAGAGACGGGGTTTCACCAAGTTGCCCAGGCTGGTCTTGAACTCCTGGACTCAAGTGATCCGCCCACCTAGGCCTCCCCAAAGTGTTGGAATGACAGGCGTGAGCCTAGTTGTTCTTTATTCTGGCTAAGACAAGTTTATATTCCTCTTCTTGAATGTCATGGACTTTCATTAGGCAGTCTCACCTACTTAGCCAATATTTTCCTCTGTTCCTTAATACATATTCTAACCACATCACTCTCTGTAATGAGACACTGAAACACTCATTCCTAAAATGAGTATTAATACTCATTTATAATTAAATGATTAATGATAATCATTTATCATTAATATAATTTTTAAAAAAAGACAGTATATCTTCTTTTTTATTGATGATAAAGCCACACTCATTCCTATGTTTGGGTCTTCACTCACATCATTTCTTCTATAATGTTCTTTTTAAACACTTCTCTCTAACTAATTTCTATCCACCCTGCTTTTTTGGTCTATAGCTCTCATGATTTTGTTTTCTCTGCGACGCTGATTGTCAGTGTGATCCAGCTTAGCACTTTTTTTTGTTTTTTGTTTTTTTGAGATGGAATCTCACTCTGCTGCTCAGGCTGGAGTACAGTGGCACAATCTTGGCTCACTGCAACCTCCGCCTCCTGGGTTCAAGTGATTCTCTTGCCTCAGCCTCCCGAGTAGCTGAGATTACAGGTGTGAGCCACTATGCCTGGCTAATTTTTGTTATTTTTAGTAGAGACAGGGTTTCACCATGATGGCCAGGCTGGTCTTGAACTCCTGACGTCAAGTGATCTGCCCACTTCAGCCTCCCAAAGTGCTGGGATTACCGGCGTTAGCCACTGCACCTGGCCCAGCTGAGCTCCCTTGAATTGCTTCCTAAGTTCTTAATTTGCATGTGTAACTTGTCCTACAGGAAAATTTTAAGCTCCTTTTCATGGGTAATTTCTATAACAAAATGGCAGTCTAATAGCTATACGCATAGTGTATGCTCAGTAAAACCTTCAGTGAGTAATCAATATAAATTCTCATTTTGTTATTTCCATAAAGATTTCAGTTCAACACTGAGAACACATGGGCACAGACGAGGGGAACAACACTCACCAGGGCCTGTTGTTGGGGATGGGGACTGAAGGGAGGGAACTTAGAGGACGGGTTAACAGGTATAGCAAACCACCATGGCACATGTATACCTATGTAACAAACCTGCACCTTCTGCACATGTATCCCCCCCCTTTTTTTTTTTTTTTTTTAAGAAGAAATACAAAAAAAAATTCACTTCAGGATAGATAACCCCTTTACACCACGACACTTCATCAACTGAATCTTGGTCAGTATGCCTATAATGTACAAAGAGTGATAAGTGCTAACTAGAAAGAAGTGCAAAGGTAGACCAGAAAGGGAAGATACAAACATCAAATTTTATCTCATCAGAGAGGGAGACCACCAAACCCTATACTCACTAAATCTCTGATTCATATTTTGTAATATGAGTAAGAAGAAAATACTTTTGGAATACAAGGTCTTGTATGTCAGATACTAATCTAAGCACTTTATATGCACCATATACTTTATAGTCATTATCTTATTTAACATTCAGAATGATTTTATGAGGCAGGTAATGTTATCTCCATTTTATAGAACACAAAATGAAGCTTAGAAAGGTTAAATCACTTTTCAAGATTGTTAAATTATATGCTAAATTACTTAATACACATTTATTTACTAGTATGAAACCTGAACATATTCAAACAAGATGATGTCAGGTTTCTGTAACACTGGTCCCAAAAGTTGACTGTGACAACACTGCCTCTTAAGAATACCAATTCATTGGTTTACTGTTGTTTCTATGGAATAAGCAATCTGTTTTTTCAAATAGAGCAGCAACATAATGCATTTTACCACCAGGGGGCAGCAAGTAAACAAATGCCATAGGTTTTCTTCAAAAATAAACCTCTAAAACTTAGTGCAAGAATCAGTTACCCAACACATGTTTTTCCAGCTAAGTTCTACATTGCCCATGGTGTTTACTTATAAAGAGAGTGACGGGATGATCCTACTGAGTCCCATACTGAAGCCACATCAATGCAGGCTCAGTCAGATGTGGGCTGCTGAGGGTTCTCAGGTTCACACCACCAAAGAAAGCTACATGGCTCATCTCAAGCTCTGGGGCTTCTTGCGACAATGTCAAATTCCACCTCCTTTCATGTTAGCTGCCTCTGACAGTCCACATGATTTATGGGAGCATCATAACCTTTCAGCTGGCAGGGAAGACAATCACACCCAGTCAGAAGACAGGTATCCTAGTCTCCATAATTTCTATTAATAAATCCTTTAATAAAAATGGTGGTGTTGGGGATTCTTTTGGGTACTTACAAGCCTGTGGGACTTTGAAATAAAGTTTATCACAGAACGATTTCCCTCCTTACCTTTACCACTTCCAGCTCCTCCTTGCTGGCTGCTTGCTGTTTCTCCAGCCTGGTACTCAACTGTGAACAGATCTAAGGATGAGAAAAGAGTCTTTTACTAGAAAACAGAACTCTTGCAGCATGTACACATAACTACTTATCAATTCATATGTTACTCTAGCACATCTGATCCTAGAAGGAATTTTGCAAATGAATAGCACTGCAAATGCCAGTCATTTGGGAAATGAGCAGCAGAAAGCCAGAACGTTCCATATGTAAAGCATACTCTACCTTAATTAGTAGAAACATACAGGGGGTAGATTTGGTTTCTTTCTGCCACTAGCCTTCTGTGACTGGTTCAAGTGAATTCCTGGCTTCACTTTTGGAATTAACCTATAGAATCTTTGCTGAGTATTCACTTTCTGCAAGTTAGTATGCTGAGAAAATCTTGATGAAAAGAATTCTAGACAGAAATATCTCCTGTCTACTGTCACAGAAAGAACCTGTTTTCAATCACAAAAGTTTCCTTAAGAAGTGGCAGAGTGATGTTCTCACTCATAAGTGGGAGTTGAACAATGAGAACACATAGACATAGGGAGGGGAACATCACACACCGGGGCCTGGTGGAAGGGTGGGGGACTACGGGAGGCATAACATTAGGAAAAATACCTTAATACAGACTAAAACTCTTATTAAGTAGGCTTGGCAACACAGCATAGAAATTAAAAGCTTAGCTGCTGGAGTTAAATGTGAGTTTAAAGCAAACTCCATTTCTTTATAGCTTTGTGAGCTTAGGCAAAGTCATTAATCTTTCCAAGACTCAGTTTTCTCATGACTAAAAAGTGCTGTGCTATAGCAATCAAGTGGAAAAAAAGTATGCAAAGGGGTTAGCATAGCACCTGGCCAATAGTAAGCGTACATTAAATAAAATCTATTATTATTATTTTCGATTCTGAAATAAGGTGCTAATAAGTATTAGAAATGGTAGAAAAATAAAAGAAATGGTAGAAATAGATAGATGGTAGAAATAGAAACTGGATATTCAAATCCATTGCCTGAAATAAGAATCTTTTATTTTAGAAAAGTGGATGAAAGGTGGGAGGATAGCTTGAGCCCAGGAGGTCAAGGCTGCAGTGAGCTGTGTTCAGGCCACTGTATCACTGCATTCCAGCCTGGGTGACGGAGCAAGACCTTGTCTCACAAAAAACAAAACAAAACAAAACAAAGATGGAAAAACAGGGGATGTGAAATTTTAAAGTACAATTTTGGCTAAAAACATATATGGTCTACCTCTATTATCAAAACATACGTTAAAAAACAATCCCAGTTTACTCAAAAATAGCTCTGGAGATGAGGGCTTGCTTGCTGAGTCTAGTTTGTTGAGTTTCATTCCAATTCTCCAGATCCAAGCCTGAGGAACCATTAGTAGGACTGTACTGACTGATGTTAAAAAGAAGAGATTACCATGGTAGATTCTGCAAACCTTAAACCCTTTTAAATAAACCAAAACATTATGCACAGAGTCAGTAATAGCTATGTTCCAACTATAGAATACATTTAGATTGTGTCTTATATCCTAATTATCTTCAAACAGATGGGTCTGTTGCCTTTTGCGTTATTTCAAGGGCTTGCCAGATAATATTCAAGAATAGTCCCCAGGATTACTATCTGAAGAGTGCTGCATTTGGTGGCCATCCATGGCATAATCTGGCAATGAAAAATATGCATTTGTAGCAATGGGAAATTCCACAACACATGGTCTTTAATGTTCCTTATATTGGTTAATGTCTACCACCTCTTCTCTTAGATGCCCACATTCAACATCTCAGATCACCTTCAAGGTTTTCTCTTGTCTAGCAAAAAAAAAAAAAAAAAAAAAAAAAAAAGACTGTCTTTTGTGAATTCAGGGACCTGGTTCTTCTTACTTGGACTCTGGTATTTGTGGTCTGTCTCCTTGGTTCCACATTTCTTACTGGGACAGATTAGTGCCAATAATACGTCTTTGATTATGCCACTTTACTGCTCAAAAAGGTCCTACCACAAACAAAATAAAATCCAAGGTCCCAAGCCTAGCCCCGGATCTTTCCTTGATCTGGACCCTAACGTCCCTTTGCTTCTCTTTTGTACTGGAATCTCTTACCAAATGAATTATTTTTCTCTTCACTAATCTACTTCCATGCCTTTGCACATCCTGTTCCCTCTTTTCTACCATTTCCATCCTCTTCTTTGTCTTCTTTATCTCTACAGATCCAAGTCTCACCTAGCCTTTGAAGCGCAGCTCAAAAGGATTCATTTCCCACACATAATAAGTTTCCTTTCCTCTTATTTCTACATAGGTATTATCTCCACATTATATGATAAGCTTCTAGAGAAGAAAACTTGAATTCATTCATCTTTCTGTCTGTCAAAGTATTAAGCCTCACAGAGAGAAGGCATTAAATAAACATATGTTGATTATCATAGAAAAGTAAAATAGCTCTAAAGTTTTATTTCTCAGTCCTCCGCGAGTATGCAGATTCCTTATGGAAAGATGTTCATAATGTATTAAGTGAACTAAAGCTAGTTACAAAAAAATAGGATAAACAATACAATTCATCCTGTTTATATATAAATTTATTTATAAAGCATTTGTATAGCAACAATGCATATTCAATATATTACAATGATTATCTCTAGCTAGAAAGATTGAGGGAGATTTGTTTTCTTTGTGCTTCTCTGCACTATTCTAATTTTCCACAAGAACACAAATTTAATTTATAAGCAAAAAAACCACATTTTTAAAAAAAAGTAAGTATCAGACTTCAGAGTCCTATGTGAAGTAGAAGACCCCAGGGAACTCCTTAGATGAGAAGATGGCATATGGTACTTTAATTAATTCTAGAAACCTGGAATTTGAACAGATCACGCAGGGTCTCAGCAATGAGAGGAGTCCTTGCCATGTCCAGCCAACAGGAAGGTCAGGAAGGTACCAGTAGATACCAGGAAAGGGGGGCTTTCTGACACCATTCTGGTGATGGGGTCAGAAACATCCTCAAGAAGATGAGCCCTTTGTTAAAAGCATTTTAAGGTTCACAATAGAAAGCTTCCTGCTAGCACTGGCCTGCAGAGGGGAAGGCCACATAGCCATGTGGGAAAAAGAGTGCCCACCACATTCTGTACTGTGGGAGCAAAGGATACACTGATCCCCCAGCTACTGCCGTTTAATACAATAACTAAACTTTGCAAAGAGGCAGGTGTTCCGAGTGTGATCTACTGGAAATTAGCATCTGAGTAAGGCAGAAACAGGATCTCAGCAGTCATCAAAAGGTTTTCTGTTCCTCTAAATCTACCCAACATTGTAAACAACCAATAGATTGTTTTGGTCAGTTAGACCTCCCAAGTTATCAGTTATAAGTAATAAGCTATAAGTAATAGGTATGTCCAACCACTGTCTGCTTCAAAGGAGAGAGTGAGTCACTAAATTTAATAAATCTGGAAAACTATTCTGGAAACTTTAAAAACAAAAATATTTCTTTCCCAAAGAAAAACAACAATAATTATTTATTTATTTATTTATTTATTTTAGAGATAGGGTCTTGCTCTGTTGCCCAGGCTGTAGTGCAGTGGTGCAGTCATAGTTTACTGCAGCCTCAAACTCCTAGGTACAAGTGATCCTCCTGCCTCAGCCTCCTAGGTAGCTGGGACTATAGGCACACGCCACTATGCCTGGCTAATTAAAAAATTTTTTTCTTTGTAGAGATGGGATCCTGCTATGCCACTCAGGCTAGTCTCAAACTCCTGGCCTCAAGCAAAAAAAAAATTAAAAAATTACTTTTATAGCAGCAAACTATAACTAGCTCTATGTGCCACAGAGGTACATTACCTGTTTATACTCAGCAATGATAGCTGTAGTCTTCTTTATTTCATATTCTGCCTTCTCTAGCTGTTTCCTGAAGACTTCTTTTAGCTAGAAACAACAGAATGAGAAATATCAGGATTCAGCCAAAATCTTAATAAATTTTCATAAACATCTATATTCAAGTCTGTCTGATTCATAGTCAGTAACAATGGTAACAATGTTAACTATATAAATTATCTTCATAGAAAGTGCATCTTGATAATCTGAAAAAGTCAATCATCTCCAGAGATGCACAAACCTTACTTTCTTTTCTATAAAATATGAGACATATGAGCAACACCATTATAAAATTGCTTATGCTACTTCTAAACATATTGCTAAATAAGTGTCCATTCTGAAGCTATCTTTATCCTTGTAAGAGTCTAAAACAAAACATCAAGGCAATACTGCATGCTAAATTTGTTACTCTTGATGTTAGAAATTACTGAAAAAAATCATTGTAGGCCTCCTTATTTATAGTCTACCTTTACTGCTGTTACCTCTCTAGAGACAGAAACAAGAGGCTTTGGAGACTAGGGTTAGAAAAGACAGAAGAAAATAAGAGCTTTTGAGAAGGACAGGAGATTCAGGGACTAAAGAAACTGACTTTAGAAGGAGCTAAAGTGACACATAATGGAAGGTACTTGTTACAGTCACTGAGATGTTAAATTATGAATGCTATAGTTATAACCACAGTTATTTTTGTGGCCCAGAACCTCTAGAATTCTAGGCATATAGGAAAATGAAGGTGATGGAAAAGCTCACGTGCTACCAGATACAAAGGAAAGAATTAAATTCTGCAAGTTGTTGAACAAACAAGTAATGAAACAAACAAAAAACAACTCTGCTTAAACTTAAGTACATAATCAGAATAAAGAGATGCATTCTGCAGTACAGCATCTCAAATTATTAATGGTGTATACTCTGTAATTGCTAGTTCATAAATTATTGCAATTTATAACTGCACTCCTCATTAGATTTCTGAATTTCTTCATATCTGTTAGATTCTAAAATTCTAAAAGCACTTGGTAAGTTACACTGATCTAAACTCTGTGGTTTATATTGATCTTTATTCTCTATCTGACCCAATTTAAGGACATAAACAGTAACCTTCTTGCCTCCCATGATAAGGCCCCATTGATGTTAGGACAGACTTGGCTGGCTGAGAGTCTCTGAGCAAGGGTCACTAAATTTATCTAAGCCATAGTTTCCTCCTCTGAAAATGGGAATAATCCCTATTTTACAAGGGTGCCATAATGATTAAAATAGTTACACACACACAGACAGACACACACACAGACACACACATGGAGGGGAGGGAGGGTGCAAAGCATCTTGCATTGTTCTTGCCACATACTAGGTGAGTATTCAAATGTCACATTCCTTCCCATTTTAGGTATCAATTGCCTACAGGCTAGTATATGTCTATGGAACCATGGAGCAGGTAGAACCTGGGTTAAGTTCATTTGCCAAGAGCTTTATTCCTCATCTAGAGTAGCTTAAGTGGTCCAAAGATGGCAGGAAGTAAAGAAAAAACAAAACCCATTAAGGAACCTAAATAATCTAAAACTGGGTAATCAGCCCCTGAAAATTTTTGAGTAGGTAAAAAATATATATCGTGGACCGCTGTAAATGCCAAAGACTCACTAAATCAGATTCCAAGGAAAAAGAAACCATGGAACACTTTTTATAAAGTCTGGAAGGTGCTAAATGACACATTCCTCCACATGTAACTTTAGTGGAACTTTTTTCTGGTTGCTTGGATGTAGATCTTTGAAATGCTTTATGCTGTGCTTTAAATTTAGTATTACTGATGTCTCAGAATGAAACTCATTAAAATAAGCTAATCACGATTTGAGATGCTTCCTCACTTTATAAGTTAGCTACATTAGTAAAATTCAAACACACTCTTGGCAGAAGACTTCAATTGTTTGTGATGAAACTGACTCATAATCTAATCTGTGTCAGGTCCCTAGCTGGGACTGACAGGGGTAGAAAACCTTGATGAAGCAGCATGTTCTTCCTTGGGGAAGTGGAAAGCTCCAATTCCTTGGGCCGATAGGCCTCTCTGCCCCTGTCCTACACTGCTCTGCACTGGTGGCATTTTCTGGCTAATTGGCCTTACAGCTCCCATGAAGAGTGTAGGGTGCTAACTTCAAGGCTGCTTCTCAAAAGGTTTCTTTATATTCCCCCAGGAAATAGGTTTGAAAGCTTTGCCAGGAATACTGATGCTCCTTAAGGTGTGAATCAGGAAAATGAAGTGTGACTGATTGAGGCAGGGGCTGTGTGGCAACTCCCAGCAGAAGTCTCTGTGGGCTTTCGGTTTAACAATGCTCATAAACTACTTCAGAGAAGTCTTTGTCTTGGAGATACAACACAAAATTTGCAGATTCGTCAAAGCTCTTGGATCATAATTCCAAGTTACTAAACTTAGAGAAAACTCAACACTCTTGCTAAATATCTCAGTAAAGGCAAATTCCTAAAAGCTGTTCAAGGGTAGAAATACTGCCTCCTCTTTTAACACACTTCCAAAAAAAAAAAGATGTCAGAAATGTTGAACAAAAATGTTGAGTAAGTACACTCAATTACTTACCGCTTTAACATCACCTTTGATTTAGAAGAAATTTAATTTTCCTGATTTTTTATAGTATTAATCAATTCCCTACCTACATACCTTTGCAAAGAAAAGCCTACATATTCCTTTTACCTGGGCAGTCTCTTCCTCTTGCTTCCTCTTCTCCTCTTCAGTCTCCACCAGCCTCTGTTTGGTTAAGAGGAGTTCCTTATTCAACACATCTGCCTTGTCTTCTGCCTGCAAATCATGGTACATGACAGTCATACATAGGGCAAAGAAAGTGTGTGGAAATTTTCTCCAAACCCAATCTTCAGTTGCTCTTCCAAAATTATTGCAAGTCATTCTTTTCCCTCCTAGCTCAACCAAGGGATGACTGCTTTCACTGAATGCCAACTATGTGCCAGCTAGTTGGCGCACATTATTTCTAATCCACACACCAACAATAATTTTACAGATAATGACAGTGAGGTTTGGAAAGATCCAACAAACTGTCTGGGGTCACACATTTAATAGAGTCATGATCTGAATTCAGATTTGAATAACATCAAAGTCCATCCTCTTTCTAAATGCTTCTTACAGAGTTTTAGATGTTACAACAGCACTCACTCTGTGCAGATGGATCTGATGAAGGGGTAGAGCCTCACACAGAAACTTCCAACTGGTGGAGAATGAGGGTTGACTCAGAGAGGAGGAGCAGACAGGCTGGTCTGAGGACAACAATTAGGTGATAAATTCAAGGACTAGTTGAGGTAAACCTGCCCACATGGCCACTCACACAGGGCAGTGAGTCTAGTAAGGAGAAATTAAGACCAAAAATCCATGATAGAGAGAGCCATGAAGAAAACGGAAATATGGACCAGGAATCCAGGAAGAAAAGATCGCATTTCTAGAATGATGATGTCTATTTAACATGCCGGGCTCTCACCTTTTAGGCCACGACTTCAAGTTCACATGGCAATGAAGCATGCCCTCAGCCCTGGCCCACTCACTCCCATCTAAGTTAGCTCCCCTATCTAAATCTCTCATATTTCCCTTGATAGGACTGTCATGACAACTTACGCATGGGATTTATTTGTCTTGCTTACTAGGCGTTAAGCTCCAGGAGGCAAGAACCATATCTCTTTTGCTCATCACCCTATCCCAAGCACCAAGCCCAATGCCAAGTACAGCATAGGTGCTCCCTAAGTACTTGTTGAATGAAGAGGTGTGGCTAAATCATTGCAGATGTAGACTGCATGTGGTGGAGATGGCAGAAGACCACAGGATGAGTTCAGCAGAGAGAACCCAGACACAGAGGAGAGGCAATTATGTGAAGAAGCTATCCCTGGCTGACAGCAGCAAAATGTTATCCAAGTAATGGTGAAAACTGGCTGGGTGGCCTTCTGTCTGTCTTCTGCCATATCTCCCATATGTCCAGATGGGCCAGGCCAGCCCAGTCTGCTGAGGACTGGCCAAGCGGCCTTCTGTCTGTTTTCTGCCATATCTCCTGCACATCCAGATGGCCAGACCAGCACAGTCTGCTGGTGACTGTAGAGAAACTGCATTCCAGCTGCTCTGCTTGCCCTGTCTTCTGGCTCCTGATGGCTCATAGCCCAGTGGTTAGAGCTCTGTTTGCAGATCATTTGAAACCGTTGGGTAGTTAAGGCGAAAAAGTCCCTTAAAAGTCTTTAAGACACTAAAAATTGCTCTGATGCATTAGATTTTAGGGGGGAAAATCTAACAGCAAATTAACATACTAAAATGAGAGGTAGACCTCGAGAATGCAATGAGAACACTACAAGTTAAGTTTTCAGTTAAGTTGTAAGACACCTGATGTACATCATGGAAGCATCTGGCATAAAGTATGGCATTTTAAAAGAAAACAAAAAGAGAAAAATAAATAAATAAACCATGGAAGCACAAAACTTCCATTCTAGAGCCCCAAGCCAGATGACTGACTGAGGTTACTCACAAAGCAGGGAGACCTTCCCAAAGTCTCTGATAGATGGGCACAGAGTGGCACTTTAAGAGCAGCTGTACTGCTCATTTCAGTGTTCTTAAAAACTGAACCAACTCTCTCCCTGTAACTGCAGCCCACTGGTTCAGGTTCTACCCCAGAATGTTTGAGCCCTGCTAAAAAAGAAGACTACAACTAAGCCTTCCTCTTAACAGGACGCACAGCAATTTCCACTTTGTGAAGAGACTGATCCTTTCATAATGTTCATCATGACACTAAAATAAATGTTTTTTTTCAGTTTGGTCTCTGAAACTTCAGTTTGGTTTTTTCAGTTTAGAGCCATCTAAAATTTTAACATTTTGCAAAAATGTTATAAAGTAAATGCTGGCCAGGCGTGGTGGCTCACGCCTGTAATCCAGCACTGTGGGAGGCCGAGACGGGTGGGTCACCTGAAGCCAGGAGTTTGGGATCAGCCTGGCCAACATGGTGAAACCCCATCTCTATTAAAAATACAAAAATCAGCCAGGCATGGTTGTGGGCACCTGTAATTCCAGCTACTCGGGAGACAGAGGCAGGAGAATTGCTTGAAACCAGTAGATGGAGGTTGCAGTGAGCCAAGATCGTGCTATTGCACTCCAGCCTGGGCTACAGAGGTAGACTCTGTTTCAAAAAAAAAAAAAAAAAAAAAAAAAAGAAAGAAAGAAAAAGAAAACGGGGAAAAGCACTTCCCTGAGGAATTTTTTTCAAAAACACCTAAATGTTTATGCTAAGAAGACCTATTATTTTTATTTGCACATTTTCTGCCAGTCTTCATTAGGTCAAGATTAAGGCAACTTCACTTATTTCTAGAGCAAAATCTAGATATCTAGAGCAAAAGGCAAATAAACCCCAATAAGGAGGAAATTGCAATAGAGACTTGGTTTCACCGGGTTCCCCAGGCTGGTCTCGAACTCCTAAGCTCAGGCAATTCACCTACCTCAGCTTCCCAAAGCGCTAGGATTACAGGCATGAGCCACCGCGCCCGACAGCCTTCACCATAATTTGACAAGATTGAGAGAAACATTGTCATTATCAAGTCTAAACACTTACCAACATCTTATAATGTCTCACTGATATTGAAAGTTCTAATTGCAATCAGGGCTCCTGCTACACATATATGAGAGAAACAAGCACTGCAATGTGTGATTTAATCATGAATCAACCAATAACCTCAGCAAAGACTCAGCCCTAATACTAGAAATGAGGATCTTTGAGAAATGATTTCTGAAAGAAATAACCAGGCCAGTCGTTCAACTTGAAACAAAACAAAATAATTTTCCATTTAGTCCATGTAGCTTCTGGTCTAAGAGAACTTGCTATGGTGAGAGGGAACCTAGACCCCTGGTCCTCAGCAGGACAGTACTAATCATGTCTCTTCTCTTTTGTTCCTTGCAAATAGGGAAGGACAGGAAAGGCTTGAAAGCAGATAGTAAGCAGACACTGAAATGGAGATGATGTACGTTTTTTCACTTCTAATCACTGAGAAATCTTTATTTAAGGAATCTGAAAGAGGGCAAGTTCTCAGAGAGGAAGGCTCTGTCAGAGGCAAAAGCTGAAGAGCCTTTGGTGTCCAGGAAGCCCAAAATTAGCACTAAAATGGTCACAGTAAGGAATGATTTATTTTTGCAAAGTACCTAATTTCCTAATTCATGTTTGTTTGCTTACATGTCGTCTTAAATACAATCTGCTTTCATATTTGTTTAAAGTTTGCCAGTGTTTTGCTATTTTAGTTAAAAGATCTGATTTTCATGAACTGGGAATGGGAAAGTACTGGGCAAACTGGGTGAAGGCCTGCAAAGCCACTCTCAGGCTAGGGCCTTTCCTAGAAGACTGGTGGGACAGGTCACTTCAACTGTAGGGACAGCTTTTTGGTAGGCAAATAAACCCCAATGAGGAGGAAACTGCAAAATCAGAAGTTAGGAGGAAATATGCATGAAATAGCGTTTTTATTCTTTCATCTAGATTCTTTCATCTAGATAAAAAGCTCCAAAAGGGAGGGCCCAGGTCATATTTACTTTTCTTAAAAGAGAGGGAGAGTCAAGGAGGGAAGAGGGGAGAGGAAGAATGAAGGTCTGATGGAACCTTTTCTTCAGGGGCTGTTCTAGCACTCACATCATGAGTTACCCCGGTACTCAATAACCAATTACTTCAGGAATACCTATAATGGCAGTCACTCCAGACTGACTCACATAAAGGATTCTCTTGGTGAATAAATGATTTTTAAGATAATTTTTTTTGGATTAAAGTTATATATATTATTTAGTATTATATTCATATATAATATGCATATTATAATGTTCATTGTTTTTCTGATTTTTAAAAGTTCTAATCCTCATTTTTACTTAACCTATGGTGGTTAGGTAATTTAAGGTCTTTGTATAAATTCTAAATGGGAAAAAAACTATAAAGATGAATATAAAAATCAGATTTAATCTTATCACCCAGAGATACCTGGCAGTAACATTCTGATGTACTTCCTTATGGGCTTCTTCCCTATCTAGGTATACTATGGTCCCCTTCCCAATAGGATGACCCAGTGCCAGCCAGTAGCCCTTGAAATTTAGATGCAAACATTATAAGTGTTTATTGTTTACAGAAAAAAAGTATTTTTAAAAAACTACTTTATCATTATTTTCCCATTAAAAAAAAATTATTCCAGAAAGACAGTCAAACTGTCACTCTCCCCTACTAGTGAACATAGATATTATAATATTTCTATTTTCCATTCTTATAAGTAACACTGCAGTAAACAACTTGTATATACATTTTTTTACCAAATCTTTTTTTTTTTAGCTTTACAAGTCAGAGGATCTCTAGTTTCCTCATCTATATAGTTTTCTCATTTATGAAATGGAAGATTAAAATAATAACTGCTTCCTGGAGTCATTAGGGAGATTAAATGAGATGATGTTTATACATTGCTTTATTTAGTGCTTGGCACATAGTGGGTATATAGTAAAATTTAATTTTATTATTGCTTAAACCTTTTAAAGTCTTAACACATATTACCAACTACATTTCCCAAACAACTTTGAAATTCTCCTTAGCTCATTTCACTGCATCCTCACTGAATCCAACTGTTTAAAAATTGTTTCATTTAGTCAGCCATCGTAAGAAAATTATTAATGGATAAAAGATTCAAAATGGTAGAATCAAGCCCATTTGGAAAGTTAACATAGAACCAAGACTTTCATTATAGCACTGATTTATCTCAACAGTCTCGAATACAAAAATACGACCACTGAGTTAAGGCTGAATTTACCCTGACTGAATGGAGATCCTGCTTCCTTCTTTGGTTCTGACTCTCCTAGTCACATATTTCTTATATCACTTCTCACAGCTTCCAAATGGGCGGGCTAAAGGAGGTTTGTAGTTAACAGGGCCACAACTTTTTAAAAAAGCATTCTCTGGGCTGCTTTTTCTACCTTCCATATCGTGTCCCAAGCAACACAGTTCTTGTTTTTGTTTTTGTTTTCGAACTCCTTTTAGTGCCAGTTCTCTCAGTGTCCTCCTCTCCCAGATACCGCACTGTTTTCCTGAACATGGGTCTTATCTCCAACTTTACTATGGTTAGAACTTTTGAGCCACAAAATTGGCTATCTATATGGGAAAACAGGAATTGTGGCAGGGGCCATTTTCAGCTGTCCTTTAATTTTAAACATTTAAGCAGATTTATGTTATGAATGAATTTGTATTTTTTAATATTGTCAATGCAAACTTACACCACAGGTAATGACTCTTTTACAGACTCAACAGTCTGCGAGTCAGTTTTTCTGACCCTCCACTGTCTGTTGGGAATATTTACTTTGTAGAAGTCAGAAAATAGAGTGGTAATTTTAAATCTGCACAAGACTGCTTCCATATTGCCAACTATTTCTGAAAATGCTAGCAAGAAAAAACAGGAGGTCCTAAGACTGTCAGCTTAGTTGGAAAGAACAAGGGAATGCTAAGTAGTTTAAGGCCTTCCTAGCAACAGCTAACATTTAATGAACACATACTATTGAAGTGCTTTACTTATTTGTTGTATCATCTCTATGAGATAGACACCTTTTTATATCTATAGACAGCTTAAGAACTGCCCGGGGTCATATGGGTCACAAGTGGTGGTGCCAGCATTCACAATAGGGCAGTCTGGCTCTCAGCCACTCAGATGCCTATCAATCTAACAATCCAACTCTTAATGTAGGTACTTCATGTAAAAGTTCACATTTATTCTGGAGAAGAATTCTTACTGGAACAAAGAGTAAGGTGCCTACTGTTAGAGTGGCATTAGTACAGGTATATTCTTGGTGACTGATGTTCTCAGATAATTATGCTGACAGCCATTGGTTCAGGAAAGGTATCAACAGAGACATAACAGAGTTTAGAGGTATAAAGAAAGTTATGTCACACATGCTATTTAGAAATGACCCAAACCTTTCTCAAAGGCTTGTGTTTTCCACTCTCTCCAATTAACACAAACTGTCCCTGCCACTCCTCCATTCATCAAGAACAAAGTCAAGAACAAAGCAAGCTTGTGGGGGCAGCGGTGAGGGCAAATTGGTCTTTGCCCTGAGGAAGTCATCACAGTCTCATTTCTAAAGTTTACCTGATCCAAGTCATTCCGTAGAGCAATTTTGCTTGTTACTAGTTCATGGGCGAGGTCATCATTCTCTTGTTCCAACCTCATGCTGGCCTCCTGTAATCTTCGGTTCTCCCTCTGCAGAAAAAGAACAACATCCGGAGGTGGGCATTAGTGTCTGGACATACAGAAATGAATAGAACTAGTGAGGAAAAACAAGCAACAAAGTGAACTTTCAAAGGTGTAAAAAGGAGAAGGCGCAAGTGGCACAGGAAGGCAGGATTGCTGTATGGGAAACAACAGTGAGTTTAGCTAGCAATGCAGATGCGGTTCTCTACCCGGTGAAACTTGTCCCTTAAACTCTCAAGATGGAACTTCATTATAAAACATGTGCCACAAAGAGCAAACTTTCTGAACATACCCCCCCAATCCTGTGAGGTTTTTACATAGATCTAGAACACAGACACAAGCAATTCTTTATTTCAAACATGCACGGTAGTCTCACCCTTGACCTCAAGAGAAACCACAAGACACAGTAGGAATGAAACAGGGGAAAACCACTAGACATTTCTTCAAATTGTTTTTCTAAGACAGGTTCATATTGAGTATATTTAAGAGCATTAAATCAAGAATCATGACACATGGGTTCATGACTTTGCTAACAGTCGACATTTTTATGTTTTGAGTAAGAATATATTTACTTTTCTGAACACCTATTTTTGGGTGACAGCAATAGTCATATCTAGTTTTGTTGTTTTTAAAAAAACTTCAGAGTAAAACATTCCAGGTAAAATAAATTACTGAGGGTTTCTGCCCCCCAACCTTGAAAAATCTGAAACAAAGTTACATGATAAAAAAACAAAAACAAACAAATGAAAAAAAAAAAAAAAAAACCCAGTCACTAATTCTTATGAAGCAAGGTCTTTCCTTAACTAAACACTGTGAACTTGGTATGTTCACAACTATTTTCAGAATAGTTATTTCATGTCTTCCATTCCAAAGTATCAAAATTACTTTCTTTGCTACTGTTAACAGTTATAGGAGATTCAAAAGACAGCTGACAGGAAAGACTAATGTCACGAGACCTTCCTGTTTTTCAGATTTACTCTCCTAACAGTGTTTTCTGCAAAGGTGGCAAAAACCTTTTTTTTTTTTTTTTTTTTTTTTTTGTCAAAAACATTTGACAAAGCAGTGACACAAAACTAGAAGACAAATATATGTTTTGGAAGATAGTTTATCATAGCATACCAGGCAATGTGAAGTTAATTTTATCTTCTATATAACAACCTGGTGTTTGCTATATTGAAAGAGAAGACAATTTCTTTCTTTTTCCTGTTTTTTAAAAGAAGGGCTAAGAAATATTGCACCTTGATTAACCAGCCACCAGGGCCCATTTCTGTCTTTTTTTTTTTTTTTTTTTTGGAAAAAAATTAGAAAAGTTGGAGAATATTAAAACATTATTGAAAAACATATCTACTAAAAAAGATAAAAACAATCCCAAATCACTTTCATACTTCAAATAAATTCACAATAGAATTCGACTCAGTGTTAAAATACTGGAGAAGGCTGGATGCAGTGGCTCGTGCCTGTAATCCCAACACTTTGGGAGCCTGAGACTGGAGGATTGCTTGAGCCCAGGAGTTCAAGACCAGCCTCGGCAACATGGCAATACCCCATCTCTACAAAACAAATTTTTTTAATTAGCTGGGTACAGCTGGGTGCAGTGGCTCATGCCTGTAATCCCAGCACTTTGGGTGGCTGAGGTGGGCGGACCACTTGAGGTCAGTTCAAGACCAGCCTTGCCAACATGGTGAAATCTCATCTCTACTAAAACAAAATACAAAAATTAGGCAGGTATGGTGATACACACCTGTAATCCCAGCTACTCAGGAGGCTGAGGCAGGAGAACTGCTTGAACCTGAAAGACAGAGCTCGCAGTGAGCCAAAATTGCACCACTGCACTTCAGCCTGGATGACAGAGTGAGTGAGACTCCATCTAAAAAAAAAAAAAATTAGCTGGGTGGTGTGGTGTGCACACATGATCCCAGCTACTGGGGAGGCTGAGGTTGGAGGATCACTTGAACCCAGGGAGTCAAGGCTGCAGTGAACTGTGATCATGCCACTGCACTCTAGCCTGAGTGACAGAGTGAGAACCTGTCTAAAAAAAGAAAGAAAGAAAGAAAGAAATATATAATAACAGGAAATGCTTACACTGCCTTGTAGGGGGGTAAAAAAACCCCAATAAATAACTGGAGAATCTCATTATAAAAATATAAACAATAAATATTAACTGTAGGTAGTGAATTTTCTTTACTGTTGTCCTTTTCCTTTTAAAAATGTTTTCAAGTTTTCTACAATGAATATATATTTGTAATAGGATTTAAAAAATAGTTTTATTAAGGAAAAAAAAATTCAGATTTTTAATTCCATTGGAAGGGATAAGATGCCAAAATGAGAAAAAAAAAATTTTAAGTCCACTTCTGTTAGAAGGTCATATTCTACACAAAACCATATTAGATCCTCCTTTTTGACCAAGATATAATGTAACTCCTAAGAAGTGGTGCCTTGCTAGGAACTCTTTCCCCAGATGTTCCTGAGAAGACTGTGTATGCTCTTATAGAGGCAACTTGTACTCATCAGATTCTGTCAGTTCCCTCAATCTACAGAAGTTCCACCCTCCCACAGAAGCATAATAAATGTAGAGACTAAAAAACAGATTTCTAAAAAGCCAGAGCTTCTACAATGAAATCTTTCAATCTTTGCCCAAGTAACACAATTTCTAGCAGGGGCTGGAGAGTTAGCCTTTATTTCTGATATATCTATTACTCCTTTTCATGGAAAAAAAAAAAAAAAAACTTATATACTTACAGGAAACTTAGATTAAAAAAAAGATTTGAGAAGCTTTTTCAATAAATTTCCTTCTAGCCAGGAAAGAGTAACAATACCAGCACAATTTCAACATGACATATTTCACAATGCAGCTGCTTAGCCAGGGAAGAGATTTTTCTCATTTCTTGATAAATCTCTTCAAGAAACTAAGATAAGACTACTTTAATAGCTATACCCGAGTTAAGTGTCCTATTGCTATTGAAATTGTACTTGTATAACCCCAAAGTACAAAAACCTCCCTCGACTATTATGTACATTACATCCATTTGGCACAAGTGAAAATGTTGCCACTACCAGTTTTTCAGGTTACAATTATATGCTTAGAATTGAGTTAAAGTAACCTCCAGGTAAAGTCATAGGATGTTCGTGGAAAAGTACTTTGTTCAAGTATTTAGAAATCATACCAGGTAGCTACTTCACTGTTGATTAGAGATAAATGTCTGATGGATTATCTGTTATATAAGAAAGAGGTATGAGTTCAGCTGAAATTCTGACTAGTAACTTCTCATTACAATGACTGTTGCAACTGAAACCCTTTCTTACAGACACACACTTAAAGGGGCAAGGGCAAGGGTGGGAAAAGATTTGGGAGAAACTGAGAGTCTTGGTCCCTGCAAAGCAAAATAGCCTAGAGGGCACGCCTACTTGCTTTTGCTTTAGCAAGAAGCTTCAATTTAGTGTCTGCAAAGCAAGCAGCACAGTGGGAAGTGTCAGACTCCTGCTCTGCACTCACAGACAAGTGGGAAAGCAAGCTACGGGGCCAAAAATGCAGTATCATCCTCCAAAGTATGAACCCAGGGTGAGTGCTACTGAGCACTACAGTGAGACCCTGCTACTGAGATGGAGATTTTCTACAAAGAACTTGCCCACACTTACCTACTGAGGGCTAAACAGAGCTTATATTACTTGGCTGTCTTTTACAGTTCTTCTCAAGGAGCCAAAACTGTTTTCAATACTGACCCATTCCAGAAAAAGTTTGCCTGTATTCTAGAATGGAGAAGAGAGTTTGGTTTTGATGGTCTTGGGAAAGGTAGTAACCCTGCTTGGTTCATTTTGAAATGTTAACAAGGGTTGCCCATGGGAGACAGACTTAAAGTCAGCCCCAATAACCTCAGTCAGCCCAGAGAAATTCACATGCTCTAAGTTTGCACAAGCAGATGTGCTGACTGCTCAAAGCCTGTAAACAAAACAGGCAAACTGGTTCCCTCTTGCCTTTCAGAAAAGATTACAGGAGACACTGCTTACATAACTCTTAACATTCACATCACACTGTCTGAAACATATCCTCCCCATCTCACACAACTGACACCATTTGAACAAAAAGCAGATAACAACTGTCCTCATAGTTTCACCCCTTATGGATAGGAGATGTACAGCTGGGAAAGTTTGGTTAGTAACTTTTGGGAGGAGGATACTGCATTTTTCAAAGAGACAGACACCGATGTTACAGACATACATAGATTAAAAAAAGAAACTTACCTCCTCAAAAGTCATAGACCAACTACCGTTTTCAATCATAGGTACAAAGACAATTAAAAAAAAAAAGAATATCCAATGAAATTGAACACCTACTAAAATATTTATGAAATGGCAATAACAAAAACAGACACTTCTTAATGCTCTTTTGCTTTTCCTTCGAGTGTCATATAAAGTTCTCTCTGTGACTGCAAACATTCAATGGAACAAAGTATACTTGAGGCAGCCAGTGGGCAAGTCTCAACTCAGGAAGACTCATATCCTCAAACTCCTCCCTCTCCACACTGCTGTTTACAGTTTGCATGAACGACTAAAATGCTGTATGTGGAACTATTAAGGAACTACGGTGTGAGGTGTTGATACTGTGTTGTTAAAGCTGGGTGGAAGGAACTTCCTTATATGACAAGGTCAGAAATCTTGCAAAATAGTTCATCTTCAAACAAAAGAATGAAATTGCTGGGCAGGGTAATGCAAAAGAAAAATGGATCCTGGATCTCATGTGTTCCTGGGGGCTGAAGTCCCGGTGAAGCAGTTCAAGGGATTGTGAATGTCATTTATTCCAAGATGAGAAACCAGAGAAATGTGAACTGGTAATTAAAAGTAAAGAAACTAAGCTTTAAAGGAAAAAATGACGAGGAGGGAGGTGGCTTTATAAACCCTAGCTCAATATTTTGGGTGTTGTCTGCTGCTATGATGAATTCTTGGCACATGGTTTTAAAGCCTTTTAAGGGTCAGGAGAAAATGTTTTCCTAAAAGACTCAGTGCAAATTTAT